ATTTAGTAAATTTTAAAATATTATTTAAATTTTTTAAAATAAATTATTGTGTTTATAATATTCATAAACGTAAATTTAATCAATGGAAATGAGGTGTTCTAGTGGAAAAGGTGTAGAAACTATATAAAGGAAGTGAGTTCAATACTTATTTCAAACAACTTTAATTAAAATTTACAAAACTAATATGTTAGTAATATCTATATATTAAACGTAAGTATTATTATAAGATACTTTAAGGTTTTAGATATTATCAAATATTAAGCGCTACATGATCATATATTGAGAGACAATAAAATGGATGCTCATGACTTTCTCCTTGTTATTTCTATTGATGGGTTAGAGCAACATATGTCATTGATGGAATATAAGATACCACTTTATGATTCTTTTATTTCTTATTGACGAGGTTTGTACTATTTATCGTAAGGTGTGTTTGGATATATTTGGAGAACACGCGATTCATTTTAGAGAGCTTTCAGACTTCAAATACTGACATGATCTTGTTAGGGATGTCTTGTTTGATCTATTTCGACAGAGCAATGTATCTTTGAAGAAAAAGACACCTGTGAATTTCTTGACTGATCCACATGAGGGACGATCGATACTTAGACCAACATATGTTCTGGTGTATGGCTGGATAGGAGGAAAACATGTTTGTATGGACTTGACTAAAATTTCTCTATTGGTGGGACTGAAGACTAAAGGTTTGACTGTGGGCATGGAACTCTCAAAGTTGCTTTAAGTAAAATGGTCAAACATGGAAAAAACGTGTTCCGACAATCCACACACATTCATACCATTTGCTTTTGACACTTTGATTTTCTAGTATCAAAAACAATTGATCTTTTATAGAACTCAAAGACTTATGAATAATAATGTTGTATCTCCCAAGTCTATGAATATAATTTTTAAAAAGATTGACTTTATCATCCAAAAATAAATAGCATCACAACTTGTTGTCCCGTTACTTTCGTATAAAGTCATTTATTGATAAACAAATATGAAGTATTATTGAAGCAAAGCATATTCTTACTTTAAAGAATGAATGGTACATCAAACATGAAACAAAAATATCTAAATGTAAACTAATTGCTAGCTAACATAAAATAAAAGTAACACAATAATTACTTACTAAATAGAATCATATCGTTCTGTCTATAGTTAATTTTAAAAAAAATGTAAATGTATTATGCAGAACTTAAAGTTTCATCTTCATCCACTACAAAAAAATCCACTTAAAATCAATGGAATTTTATGGATCAACTATCTAATGATAGAAAAATCTTGGTGATCTCTAATAGTAAAATCTAATGAATTTTGGATGTTTAAGGGATTGGTTTGATATCTCTGCTTCTCATGAAACCCAAAAACTGATGAGGTAATTCTTCCAAAAGAGCTTGCACAACAGAGATTTGTCCTTCTGTTAAAAAAAGAAATAATTGTAAGAATTGTCGTATGAAACACGGGCACAGACACACTCAACATACACGACACCGACACTTACACAGATAAAGAACATAATTGTAAGAATTTGAAGAAAAAAAATAAAGAACATAATCACAAATATCAGTGTTGATGTCCAACAATGACACATATACAAACACACATTTTTCAGAGGTCTCAATGGTACAGAGGAATTGAAAGACTATATTACACAATTTAGAGAAGTAACTAGTACTCACTTTGAACTTCTCTCATTGTAACAAACTGCACTATATCTCGCGCCGTTACACGGCCAGTAGAACTTCTTAAACAAGGTCCACTATCAGCATCCAATACCTGTAATAAATAAATAATCTATAAGTACATGTATTTGGTATAAATATAAGTCTAGAGAAAATTAAATAGTAAGACCTCCATGCCAGAGAAATCAGCGCTTCCAACGCCAACTATAAGTATCAATAGGGGACTATTGCAAACTAAAATATCATGTAGGTGAAGTTATTAAAGGCAGAACTATCAAATGGTTTATGCAGAAAAATATTTATAATGCATCTTCTCACAATGCAATAGCTAACATTGTTCAAATAAAGCAAATTTTAAATCTAATGAGTTGGTTTAACGGATCACGTCACAAATTATTGCTGAACTTGCACGATCAACATCAATGCATGCCTTCATACTAGATCTTTTAAACATGAGCCCTCTCCCCAAAGTGACATTTAGATATTGTAAAACTCAATGTACAACTTGCAAATGTCTTCCTCTTGGATCATGCATGAACCGACTCACCACACTAATTGCATAAGCAAAATCCAGCCTAGTGTGGGCCAAATAAACTAATTTCTAATATCATCTTGTGATTTTAATCGATGGAAAGACTTTTAAGTTTGTTTCCATGATTTCCTATTTTCTTCAAAAGATTAAGTACTTTTTTTTTTTAAAGATAAAAATGTCTTGTATTTTTAAGACCAAAATGAAGTTGTTCCCAACTGAAGCAAATAACGAGACATAATATGATCTAAATGATATTCATCTTTGTCATTGGAGAAAATGTTTCCTCATAATAAATGTTATATGTTTGATTATATCCTTTTGTCACTCATCTAACCTTGTACCAATCAAAAGTGTCATCTAACTAGTGCTTTACTGTATATATCCACTGATATCCATATAACTTATCATCTTTTTATCTTTTAACACTCTTCTAACCCCATTTTTCTCAAGTATTTCTATTTCCTCATTTCTAATTTGGATCTAATTTTTAATCTATAGATACCTCTTGAACAAATGATAGAATTTTCATATAATCAACAGCGACAATAAAATTTTGATATTATAGAGAAAAATGTTTAGAGTAGACAAATTAGGAAGTACGACATCTATATTTAGAGGAACGAGATCTTTTATCCTTAGTCAAGATAATAGGTAAATCATTCAGATCATTGTCACGAGTATTAATATTCTGAGAATCAGCAACATAAAAATAATTTTCAGTACTTACTTCTGATTTAAATAATTTAGAAGTTGAATTAAGAATAAGACTCAAAATAGGCGATGACTGAGTTTAAAAACAAAAGTAAGAGAAAGAATATAAATAAGTATTTTAGGAAAGTTATGATTAAGGATAGATACATAACTCGAGTTCAGAGTCAGAGTCATTCATGTTATCTTCCAAAGACTGACTAGGATGACTAAAATAAGACTTTTTTTTGTAAAATGTGACACATTGAAAACATAATCTTTATAGGAACAAGAGGATATACATATTTGTGAAAATTATTGGGGAATTAAATTTATGACTCATACCATGAAGTTATAAGAAAGAGTGATTAAATGAAAGTTAAGAAAAGAGACTCAAATTACTGAGAATCAATTTAGTTTTATGCATGAGAGGTCGACCATGGAAGAGAACTATCTACTATGACGTATGATGAAGCAATATCTGATGGACCAACGATATTTCATCTAGTTTTTATTGCCTTCGAGAAGGAGAACTATAGAGTGTCTAAAGAGATTTTGTGGAAGGCCATAGAAAAGAAAGGGGTTGGGACTGCCTATATTCGACCTATCCAAGATATGTATAAAGGGGGTATCAACTAGTGTGCAGATACATGGTGAAGAGACGTGAGATTTTCCCATTCCAATAGGATTTCTCCAAGATTTAACTCTAATCCCCTACCTTTTTATCTTAATTTTGGATGTTCTCACGGAATGCACCCAAGAGGTAGCACCTAGACATATGCTTTTTGCGGATGATACAATTCAACTTAGAGAGTTGAAGGAGGATTTAAATTAGAGTTTGATGCGAGACTTAGAAACACATGACTATTGCCTATGCAAAAGTAAGACAAATTATATGGAATGTAAGTTGAGCAAGGAGAGAAGCGTTTCTAACCTAGTGGTAAAAGTTGGAGACCATATCATCCCACAAGTCACATCATTTAAATATCTTAGTCCTTAATATAAAATGATGGAGAAATAAATGGATGTAAGCCTTCAAATTCAAGTTAGGTGGTTGAAATGGAAGAGAGCCTCATGGGTTTTATGTGACACAAAAGTACATCTCAAGCTTAAGGGAAAATCGTATCAGACAATGATAAGACTTGCAATGTTATACATGACAAAGTATTGGATGATTAAAAATCAACACGAGAATAAAGTAAGTGTAGTAGAGATGAGGAGTTGTGTTGGATGTGTGGTAAGACTATACGAGATAAGATTAAAAATTATAATATTAGAGAGAGTGATGAGATATGACCTATAGTAGAAAAGATGGTGGAAAATAAATTTAGATGATTTGAGCATGTAGAGAGAAGAACTGTATACTCTATTGCAAGAAGAGTTGATTAAATGGATATGAGTTAAACAATTAAAGGTAAAGAAAGACCTAAAAAAACCTCATGATTAATAAATTGGATAAAAACATGATATTGGATAGAATATTATAACAGAATTAGATCCATGTAACTAATCTCAATTAGTAGAATAAAGCTTGGTTGTTGTTGTACGTATAATCACAATGAGAGAAAAAAAACTTCATTACAAATTAATAGAAATACAAAAAGTAGTTATTATAATCTCATCAAAATAGTGGTTAAACTCTATTTTTGTTTTCTCAAAAGGTTCTTTCTCCGTCCCTAAAAATAAAACAAAGTATGATTTTTATATCAAATTAAAGTAACAAATAGATTATTATAGTTTAAGGAGACACTACTAAAAATATGAAATTTGAGAAAAGATCTTTACATCAGGTATAAAAATATATGATGTGAAAAGTCCAGTTTTAAAAAATATAAAAAGACGGTGGCAGTTTTGTAAATAGATAAATTACACGTTACACCGGGCCAATTTTCCAACCGATGTAAAAAGTCCAGTCCTAAAAAAAATAAAAACAGGGTGGCAGTTTTGTAAGTAGATGAATTACACGTTACATCGGGCCAATTTTCCAACCGATGTAAAATCCTCTATCATTTTTCACAAAAACCCTAGTATTATTTACAAATCCACTCCGCCGCATTCGTTTCCCTCTTCTATTCCTTTGTTCGTGACCACAACACTCACCTCCAGCAAACGCGACCACAACCACACACCTCCAGTAACATCTTCGTTTTCATCCGCACCCTCCGTCTTTTTTTCGCCTCTAACAACATCCTAAAAAAACTAAACCCTTCGTTATTCGCCTCAAAATTCACAACATATCTTTTTTCGGAGTGAAAAAAATGATTATCACATAATCTAAGGTAGCACCGTCCTTCTATTTTCAACTGTAAGCAACAATAACACACATCTTTCAATCGATCTTCAACATCTTTTTACTCTTCATTTTGATTTTTTGCGTTTTTTCCATTCAATTTTGTTTTTTGATTCTCAATTTCTTACTGAATACTAGCTTGTTCTGCTTCACTGTATCAATGCTTAACTTCACGTTTTTCATATAGCCTTTTTGGAGGAAGAGTTTTAGGTTTGACAATAAAGAATATTTCGAAGAGCAGCAACAAATCTACATCGCATCGGCTTTTTAAGGACAAGGCAAAGAACCACATTGATGGCATGCAACTGACATTCATGGATTTGCAGTTTGCTAGGAAGGAGAGTCGGACTGTTGATGCTTCCGTTCTTGAGGAGCAAGTTCATCAGATGCTTCATCATTCTGAGCATGAATACTTCAACCAAACACTTGAAAACTCACAAGAAGATGGCACGGTTTCACTTCAGTTTATGCTTTTGATTTTCTATTAGGAAAGACATGGTTCTTGGTTAGTGTGAGTTTAAGTTGCAGGCTGTTAGTTGTTAACTTTAATTGGGTTAGTTAGTGAGTAGGTGGTAACAAAATATGATAATTTAGTGAAGGTTACAATGGTTAGAAGTTAACAGTAGGGTGATTTGGATAATAAGGTTGGTTATAAGGTTGATTCGAGTGTGCTCACACTTAGCTTGTGAATTTGATGGTGTGAGTTCATGATGATTATTCTGAATTGTCCTTGAACTTATAATGTTGCATTTTGTCCATGTTTGCTTGTACTTAGGATAAATCTTGAATTTACCTTAAACATCATGTATTTTAATTGAACTTAGATGCTTGAATTCATGATGATTATTCAGCCCTTAATTTAAGTGACCTGTTTTGCATTGGAGACATAGCCATTGAACTAGTTCTTCTTATTAATCGATTGCAGACTTTTGATGTTGTATGATAGGAAGTGATGTAGTTCATGGCCATGGTTTTATGATGTGTGCGGCTGCCTTGTATTGCCTTTGTTCTATTTTTGAGTTCTGACATGCTTGGTTTAGAGTGTAGATGCTTATAATGTGTAGTGACTGAATAACATTGTTTGGAACATGCTTTGTAATGCCCTGAATATAATGTAGCATTGATTTTGAATTGTTTTTAGGCTAATGTGTAATGTTGGAACATGCAAATTTAGCTTATGGATATTCATGATGTCATGATGGATGATGGGTGCTATGTTGTGGGTTTTTGTGTATGTACCGATGACAATATTAGTGGTAAAGTTGTGATTGTGAACTGTGTGGTATTTGTGGGTGAATTTAGGGTGGAACTCTCGGGTCATTCTCCACCGATATTTGTCGGCTATTGCAGTTCTGTGAGGAAGAAGATGTTGCCTCTATTTTGCACTTCATATTTTTGCAGGCCCTATGACATTAGCTGCTTAAGTTCTCTCTCTCACTCTCATGTTTCTATACTTTTACTTTATTAGGTGCATTACTCTGACATTATCCGCTTAAGTTCTCTCTCTCACTCTCATGTTAAGTTGTTTTACTATTGGTTGGCTTTTTTGAATTTTGATGCATGGGAACAACAATTATGATTAATCATTTTTTTTTATAAAAATAGATCTTTTACATCGGGCCAAACAATTAACCAATATAAAAAATAGATCTTTTACATCGGGGTAATAAGGCAACCGATGTAAAAAATTGCGTTTATTTTTTTTTATTTAAAAAGTTATACTTTTTTCACATCAGACTTAACAAACAACTGATGTGGTAGGTGTTTTTCACATCGGGCTGTTTCCCGATGTAAAATGTCTTTGATTTACTATATCGCTTGACTTTACATCGGATCTAGGCCCGTTGTAAAATGTGTTTTTCACCATATGTAAAAAGCCTTTCCTGCACTAGTGAAAGTTTTCTCCTCTTTTTTCTATCCAATTCTTAAAAGTTCTCTCGTATATTTTTACTATTTTATTATTTATGTTTTTTTTCTCTCCTCCTAAAAAGAAAAATCCATCAATCTCCTCCTTATGACTTAGGTGGACGACTCCAACCGTCCTAACTCTTTCGCAAAACTCATATTTGTCCTTAAGATAAAAAATTTGATTAATATATATGAACAATGTCATCCATATGGAATTATATATTAATACGGAAGAAGGAATTATATATAAATCAAGCCCGAAAGAAATTTGTTATATGCACATTTATGTCTCACAACTTTCTAATTTGTAGATACATTTATTTTGATAATTTAAAGTTCTTCTCTTATGCATTTTTTATTAATTAATACGACAAAATAAATAATAATAAATTAATAATAATCTAATAAAAACAAAACAAACATTGCATGTCAAATGAGTATAATCAATGTATGGATTTCCATGTATCGACACCCTCAATGAAAATACAAAATTTTACTTTTTATTTTAACATATTATTTAAATACTTTATCTTCGTTTTATGCCCAGTTAATTCTTTTTGTTATAATTGTTCACATCGTTGAACTTAATCTAATCTTCAATATCTATCGCCAATGGTTTTTTAAGTTTTGCAATCGATTTTTGTTATATTATGACTCATTATTTTTTCCATAATTTCTTAATAACTAAATTTTGAATCACCATTCTAATTTCAATCTTTGTAATTACGAGTGAGAATAAACGATCGTATTATATTTTTAATAAAGTTAAAGTCTAAGTTGTGATTCGTTACAATCATAAGTTATATTTTTTTATTTGCGTTTAAATTTTTAAAAAATTTATTAAAATTTAATTCACGAGAATATATATCGAATAATAATATTTAAAAAAAATTGTTTTGCAGATTTATTGTCTCTAATTTATATTATTTAAATACATTAATTATTTAATATATTTAAAAAAAATCTTTTTTTATAAATAGGATGAGAGAGAATATAACCTCCATATATAAATATACTAACATATATTTTATTTTAATATTATTATTTTGATTATAGTTTCTTTTTCTATTTTTTTTCTTAAACATTGTACTAAAAAACTCTAGTTTGAAATTTAAGCATCAAAAATCAGAATCATCAAACATAAGCATCAAAAGTTTCACATTCACATTCACATAATCAACTACTAATTCTAACAACACAAAATATGAAATTCAGTTTGAAACTTCACATTCACATAGTCGACTACTAATTTTAACAACGCAAAACATAAAATCACAAGACCAAATTCATATAAAATTGAAATTTATTCTAGATGGGAAAAACGAACGAATCTCAACTCTGGTGAACAATGACTAAAAATTTTGAGTAGAAATGTCAACGAGAAAAGAATGATCCAATATTAAGAAATTTTTTATACTTTTTAATCAAAACTATGTCAATGACATTAATATTTTATTATTTTAATTTTCCTTTTAATAAAAACACATCTTCATCAATGACAAAAACAATAAAATACAAAAGTATTATTAGTTGTTATTAATTTTTTCTGTAAAATAATAAATATTCATTTCTTAATATATTAATTTTTTTTTATTAAAAACATGTAAAATTATATAATTATATATTATACATATATAAAACATAAAATTTAATGATATAGTTAGGGTTGGGGAATCTGCGGGGCAGAGGATACTTTTCTGATTCCCTACTTCAAAGTATCATCGTAGAAATATTTTAATATATTTCAATTTTACGGAAAAAATATTTCTCGACTATGGAGCTCCAAACAGATAATCTCCACAAAAATTCTCATTAACAAATCCAATTGACATCCATAAGCATGAGATGTATAGAAGAAATCAACAATGTCATTGTTGTTGTTCGTTGCTTTTTGACTAACACCACCAACAATTTCTTTTGCACCTTTCACATCTGGAAAACACCCTCCTATTTTAAAATCCTAATTTCTTTTTCCGATCTCAGATATAACTCTCACTCACTCATCAATCGATACAAATACAACAAGTTTTTTGTTTCTTTTTTCGATTTATATATTGCTTTATTTCATCTTAATATTATTATTATTAATAAGATAAAATTGTTTTATTTTCCACGAAAATCACTCTTACTTTACTTAAATAACAAATTAACGACTTAATCTCTTGATTAGTTTCTGATACGTAGCAAGTGTTTGTTAAACTTAACATCAAGAATAATTTTGTAGTAGTAACTCAGAAAGTACTTGTTAAATCAGTATTTAATTCACCATTATTATCACATATATATATATATTCATCATTATCACACTTCACGTTGAGGACTATTTATTATATGACTTGTGGCACAAGAAAGTTCTATGTATAAATAATTGTGGAAACAAAACAAATAAGAAAAAGTCTCATATCATATTAATTCCTATGTGTAATTTCCCTGCGATTATGAAAAATAAACCACGAAATTCCTATGCTCAGTTTTGGTCATACCAATGCCCAATGTTAATTCATTTTATTCCTTATTTTTTAAATATATTTTTATAATTCTTTTTTTTATAAAAGGATAACCCAGACTCCTATTTTATGATCTTCATAAGAAAAAACAGACAACATCGATAAGAGTGCACATCACAAAGTTCATTACTTAAAATAATTTAAATCAAAATTTAATAAAAACATATTTATTTAGTTTTTGATATCTATTTGCACCGGACAACGTGCCCGCTTGAATGTTAATATAATATAAATTTGGAATAACAATTTTATATATATATATATATATATATATATATATATATATATATATATATATATATATATATATATATATATATATATATATATATATATATATATATATATCACCTGATCAGAATGGACCGTCACAGCTTATATCGAGTAGAATTTGAGAATGAGGTAGAAGGTATATGCAAGATACTCTGATGTCAAATTAAGTTTCAGAATGAGCAAACAAGTAAGAGAATAAGAAATGTTCAATATCTGACCCTCTCGAAAGAGAGGGTATTTATAGCTCTCAGCGATGGGCCAAAGTCTCCTCATCCGGCTGGTCAAGCAGGCCCAAAGTGAAGATTGTTAGGTCATACGTGAGTAGTAGGGAGCCGCACGTGGTCCTCCACCTGGATGACTTCCTCCGCAAGATCAAGAGGATATGGATGCGGTCTTTCCGAGACCACGAAGACTCCGTGATATTCAGAGACGTTGATAGTCAGCCCTACGAGGAAGATGCTCGTGAGGTGCTTCAGCTCGTCGTGGATGCTTTCCGCCAAACGTGAGGTCGTGTGGGGGGATAAGGCTTGGTCGAGGAGGATCGGAGGGTGTCTTCGAGATCATCCTGACCGGTGTGCAAGCTCCCTGAGACTAATCGGGTTTTCCCCCGTACAGTGAGGTCGCTTCC